CAGTGCGATTTAGCTCGTTCCCTCAGTGCGTTTTGAGGAGAGACCCCCAACAAGACGGGTCCCACCCCTCTCCCCTTCCACCAAACCACACAAGAGGACTTTCGGCTCGCCCGCATGCCGGCCAACGAACGGACAACACATCTTGCTTTCTCCGGGATTCGAACTCGGACCCTTCGGCATAGCAGTCAGCGACGTTAAACACTATACCAGTTGGGCCGCTCGTTCAAAATGTATGAAACAATAACGAATTTCTATATATATATATATATTATATTATATATTTACCTTTGCAGCAATTATTAAATAAATATTAAAAATTGAGTCAGGATGCATACAATTTGACCAGTGGACTCTTCAATATATTAATTCCGAAAAGCATCTATCAGGTATTTGTGAAGAAAAATTCAATTTTGATGTTTAACGAAAAAAACAGAGTTATAATTTTATCACCTTTGCAGATATTTCTGCAAAATTTTACTTATGAAAATGTCTCATTCTTCCGGCAGTAATAAGCCCCAAATAATACGTTTGATATTTATATTATCCTCGAAATATGCATTCTAGGGCAGATATTTTTACTTCGTCATTAGTTGTTAAAAATTCTTTCGATGTTAGAATATTATTTAATTGGCTAATTTATTATGACAAATCATGTGATTTGTGATCATGGGATAAGAGAAATTATATGATTTGTCTGCTTAAAGAAAGGAATGTCTTCCTGGAGGTTACTCTAAGTGAAACTGACGCGTATCCCCTTTACACATGAGGGGGAAATAATGAAATTTAAAATAATTTCTGTATCTCGAATACATTTTTTTTTGCGCCGTACGCTAAAGACAAACTGATTGTCCTTTTGGGCCAGAATTCTCGTCACTTTCGGGAAGGAAATTGACTCAGTTGAATGAAATCTAGCATTAAAACACTACAAGATTAATTCTGGGCCAATAGTTTTCGTTGAATGTCTTGTACATATAATACTAACGAGATTCCTCCTGTGTATCTAACCGACATTTTTTTCTTGGGGAAGGGAATATAATTTTTTTTTGGGGGGGAGGAATTTTATTATACTCAGTTCCGGCTTGAGCCACCGCAAATAAAACGGAAAAAGCAAAAATAAATGTTTTGGAGAACAAAATTCTAAAATCAATAGTGAACGCGCCGTGGTTTGTGCGTAACTCCAATATACATGATGAATTAAAAATAAATCCTATCCATGACCTAATTAATTTAATTACTAACTTTTTCGAAAAAGCAAAGAACTCACCGAATATCATCCTTCAGTAGAATATGTTGTAAAACGCCCAAGATCTATTCATCACAATGCACACTGGTGGTAACGGTAAACAGGAATATATTTTACAAATGCTACTTAATTCAAACTTACATGCATAACTGCTTGCCTTGACTTTCACTATTGGTTCTTTTGCCTTCGGGTGTGGTGCGTAGTATCTCAATTTCTATAACTACCGTGAAAGGCCTTAGGGCGCATTTTGATTTACTGCCAAAAACTCAAAGTTGTTCATGCCAGCAGCAAAGTGGTGATCCATGATCCACATATTTCCCTTTATAACATTAACGCTGTTTAGGTTAGGTTATTTAAACATCAAAGCAATCAAGGCATGTTGCTAAGGGAAAGAATGGCTTCGTGGAGAACTTTCGAATTAGAACTGGTTCGTATTTTCTTTACACGTGGGGAAAACCACGAAAATAGCCGTTTAGCTAACCCTTTCACCTGGATTCGAACCCAGGTAAAACTAACACTATTCAGCAATCTTAACTCCTCGACCGCTGGCGGAGCGTACATTAACACTGTACCAGTATACTTGCAAGCTCGCTACAATATTTCTTCCTATTCGTTTCAAAACTAATATATATTTACGTGATAATTATTTGCAATCTAAGAAAATGCAGGCCCATTTACTTTACGCTTCTATAAATTCAGTTTTGAAAGTTATATTTCTCTTTTTTTTTCTTCCCCCTCTCCCAGATTTTTTAAAATTTTTTGCTAGAAATTTACTTTGAAAAATTTTGATAAAGCTTCGTCTTTAATATTCAAAGCTTAAAATTCAATAATTTTTTAAACTTGATATACGTTAAGATGTTTCCTAAATTGGTCTGAACACGCAGTTTTATCTTAGATTCTCCTGAAATGTAAATAATATGATTAATAAATTTAACAGGGAGATTCTTTTGTGTTCACCAGCATAAAACGCACTATGAAAGACAGAAGAGGTTTCGGAAGTTAAAGAATTAGAAGAATGCGGGTTTATTCATTTATTAATTATTTTCTGCTTTTGCGAAGAAGGTAGATAGAATCAAGACAGATAGAACAATGGACTGAGACTTGCCAGGCCCGTGCCGCATTTTCGTCTGTTAAATGCGGATCGCGTTGGAGCAAGCAAGCAAATAATTTTAGAACTATCATTTAAGAATAATTATATCTTCGCACTTCGATGCCCTAGCATGCAACCAGTAATTTTATTTTTCATGTAGTAGTAGTATAATAATTTTAAAATGTGCGCAATGCGCTAATAATCAAATTAACAAATAAAAGGAAAATGATTTCGTTCCTGCGACGTAATGCAGTGGAGGTGTTATTTTTAAGGATCTACTTTGTTATCTTTATAACAAAAGAGTAGATACATCCGGAGGCAACAAGTTCCGTTAAGGGATACCTCGAATCATACATAGCTTATACTGGAATTGGGAAGAGATTGTAAACTAATTATCTAATCTGTATTTACTTAAGTTTGGCCATTCTTGCTAAAATCCTAAACCTAGAAGAAACAAGCAGGCAGGGGTTTATTGCCTCAACTATCTTAAAATATCACGACTTTGTTTAGATTATTTCGAAGAATGCCATAAAATAAGCCTATGATTTTAAAAACTCGTTTTAGTGATAAATTTACTTTAATCCATTTCAGTAATCTCTATTTTGCTATCTATTTATGAGATGCTTACTTTTAATGAAAGCTTCAGTGAACAAATTGATTTTCAAAATCTCATCTAATTAATGAATAATACTATAAAATTCAGTTATAAAATTATAAAATTTGCTTTGATAACTACTTTAATCCACTTTTGCAGTCTTATATTTCGTTGCTGTCAGCCTAATAATTTTGCCAGAAGCTTTTGCGAGTTGTTTACACTATCCTACCTAATTAATAAAGCCATAAAATGAATTTATTTTAATGATAAATTTCATTTCTTTAGTCTTTTATCTTGCTGCTATTAAGCTACTTTTTTTTTATCTATTAGAAAGCCTTTGCGAATTAATTACAAAATCTTACGTAATTAATTTTAAAAATAATTAGACACGATATAGAAAACAGCGCCTTTTCCACACTTATCCGTAATATAAATGTAGGTGGCATAGCTTTCAACGCGTAAAACTGAAACTCTTGTATGTAGTACTAAGGTTGATTTCATAATACTTAAAACTCTAAGTTCATTTACATTAAATCTTCTCATCCTATTCAGCTATCATGGCTTGTGTAAGTTATCAATGCTAGCTTAATAAGCATGCACCCTAGCGTTTCTAAAATAACAGCAGAAAACATTATCTACTAAAACTTACTCAGCATTTGTTTTTGCAGGTTCCTGACCATGCGCCAGCGCATCTGGGCGCTATTTCTTCTTGCCTTCGTTATCGCAGGAATCCATCTGAAGCTGGCTTCGGCAGTAAAGCTGCAGGAACTTTACAAGGTGAATCCCAGGAAAGAACAAGTGCAATCCTTGGAGAAACAGTTACTTAATATGCTCGGTCTAGAATCGAGGCCGCAACCTAAGCGAAATCTCCCATTATCAGATTATGTAAAGAATGTATACCGCAGAAGAGGTTATCTAAAGCGAGGACCCGCCAATTCCAATACCATCAGATGGCTTAGAAGTCATGGTAAGTTATTTTTTATTTGTAACCCCTTATGCAGAGTATTTCTTAAAGATTGCAAAATTTAAATATCCTAAAAATCCATCAAGGGCTAATCTTTGGAATATGGTAACAGGTAGTTTGGCGACATTTTGGCAAGGCGATAAAGGTTACTAGCTAGGACCTTAGCAATAATCTGAGAAGTACACAGTTCGAATCACAGATTATTTTGGCTAATCTTTGGAATATGTAACAGTATTTTTACATTTTAGAGTAAGAAGAATTGGATTTTGTCAATTTTCTTTGACTTTTTAAGTGAAAATAGGTCGACGTGTACATGGATACCGTGTATATGCAATTCTTAAAAACGCGACAAGCAGTGGGCGATTCTAAACTTTCTTCCAATTTCGCACCTAATCCTCGTCATATTTAAGCACTTTTGTTCCATAAAATTTCTAGCATAAGCGTAATTCGGCTAGCAGATTGTTAGAAAAAATGTTGGGGGGGGGGGAGTGCCTTTATTTCGTGAAAACAAAATGGCGTCCAAAAAAAAAAAAAAAAAACTAGGAGGTTGTTGTAGCAGGGTTGGTCGCCAAAGTTTCGTCAGAAAATCGCCAAGTTACCATAATCCTAAGATTTACTAAATCAAGTATAGTATAGTAGGCTTTGAAATTATATCGGTTTTGATTATGTAATTTTTTTAAGAAAAGGAAATCGGTTCTAATTTCTACGCAAGCTTTTTATAGAGAAAGTTAAAAAAAAATATTTCTGTGATTTGCAAAATTGTCCCCGAAAAATTTGTAAAAATTATAATTTAAAGCACTCTTTCATAAGCTTAGCTTTTGGCGGCCATATAAAATTGAAAAATTGTAGATTGTTTTCATTTTATAAATGGGAATTCAATGTTCTTAGTTTTCATACTCATCTTTTTCTAACAGAAAAGATACATATCTTTTAGAAGTTTATGTGCGAAAGGATTTATTTATTTGTGGACAGACCTAAAAAAACAATTAACTATGTCTTGGAAATGGAGCCTTGGGTGTAGGGCAGCCCATTCCAACAGGTATTTATCTGTGCAATCACTTTTGAAATGCTTTCTAACAGGTTGGGATAATATAGTATATAAAGGGTTTATTATTCAATTCTTTAAAAATAGCTAGGCTGCAGAAAGTTCAAATGCAATTCTAAATTATATGCTTCTTTTAAATCTATAAGCTATAATAAGTTTACGTTTCGCGATACATAATTATTGTCCTTTAAGTTTGGTAGTTACTAGAGAAAAATTCGTTTAATTTAAACATTTGACTCAAATGCATTTTCTTATTCTGGAATTTCATCTTTGATTTGGTTGATAATTCTAACTATTTAAAGCGGGTAATATTACTTACTATATTTTTATCTAGTTTCTTTTTTTGTAGCTGTTTGAAGGCATATTAATTTTAATGCGATTTAAAATTTCGTGTATTTTATTATGCTTAAAAATCTATCAGACACAATAATTGGCAATACTTGGTTCTGCCTGTGATTGTTGTTAAGTACAGAGCCTTTGATGATCCAGATGATTGTTAATAATTATTTTTAATATAATTATGTAAACACGCAAATAATGTTATATAATTTTTAAAAAACATTTCCTATACTGTAGCCAAGATTTATTTATGGAGCATTTTCCTTAAAAAATCCCAGCTCTGGAGGTCGCTGACTCAGTCTTTTAAAATAGCATCGTAGACAGGTGTCTGTAAAACAGGTCACTAGGCCTTGCCGCCTACAAGTTTTCGTCGATAAATGTTTTCCTTACAGCTGGTTATTCCCGTTTACTACTCATTCAAAAAAACATGGCACTTAAATAATTGTCGTCTATCAAATTTAGTTGAAGAAAATTAATTCCCATGTGCATGAATCAACCAAAGTGGTATATTCCATAATTTTTCCTTCTGTTTTTAAACTACTGCAAAGTTCAGTAATTTCCATTTGGGATTGCTTTTTCACTTTAGTAAATCTAAAATTGTAAAATTATTCAAATATCTTTAAATTGTTTTCTTTTGATAGAATCATCTATAATATTGTATATAGTTAACTTCTACTTTGTACCTAGCTAGAAAAGTGGTGTGGTGTATTTAATTATGGCAAAGCACAATAGGGCTATCTGCCTAAGGGAAGGGAGGACTTTCTATGGGAAACTGGCTCGTATACACGTTACACATAGGGAAAACCACGAAAACGCCCATGCAGCTAGCCCGTTCGCGGGATTCGAACCTCGGACCGAACTACCAGTGTTCACCTAGCTAGAAAAAGAGCTAATGTTAATTTCGCCAGCTTTGGGCTGTTTCAGTTTCGGCAAATTTTTTAATCACGCATATGAAATATAAAGGATTAGGTCAAATCGTACTTATTTTTCATTTCATAGCATTTCATTAATTAATACAGTAGCCCTTTTTGACTTTAATGAACATAATATACTGATCTCCGACGAAGAATATAGTTGTTTAATAACATGCAGGATCTTGAAGCTATTTGACAAAAATCTTACGATCATTTGGGGCATTGCTTCTTTATCCTTTTCCAAGGTTTTAAGTACACGGATTTATTAACTCGTGTTATCTTTTGTACTGGTAATTTCATGTTGGTATCAGATGTATTCATGTTTAAATATTCGTGGAGCGCCGACTGAGAAGATTTGACATGATTCTTGTGAAGATTGTAATGTTTGTTAACCTGAGTACATCGGAGTGCACGAGGGTTATTTCATTAGGGAAAGAAAGCTTTCTTGAAGGACTCTTTAATCGAAAGTTACTTGTAATCGCATTACGCATGCGGAACATAGCGAAATCACCCATGAAATCAGCGCGTTCACTGAAATTTGTAATGTTTGTGTAACTAATTGAATGTTTAAAGCTTTATTTAAAAACACCTAGGAGATTATTTTAAGCATGTTCTTTTGTACTTTTGATCCTCAATACTCTGTTCCTAGAACCAATCAAAGCTGTCTATGATTCTCAGACATCTTCTCTGTGCCCAGGTTATCAAATTAGGCTTTAAAATATCCACAGTTTTATATTGTTGAAAGTATCCTGAAATTATTTTAGGGTTAGGTTTATGTGATTATGGCAAAGTACTTAAAGGCTATCTGCCTGGGATGGATGCTTTCGTCGAGGACTTAACCCGTTTGCTGGAATTCAAACACTGGATCGACCAACCACAGCTGACCAATGTTACTGCTCAGCCACTGGTGTGTGCCCAAATTATGTATGGATAAGACGCTTTGAGGAAGAATATTTCAGACTTGCATTTCGGAACCTAATTTTACTCTTATCCTTTAAATGGACTTGCTTGCAGTGAGCTTCTGTATTTCGCTCCATGAGTAATGTAAATATAGGCAATTTTCCTCAGAAATTCCTCCATCTTTTTTATCTGCAAAAAGAGGAATCCTTTTTGGTTTGCAGAAAATTTCAGTCTCATTGATCAAATTAGTAAATCTTGGTAAATTTTTAAAAGTTTCAATTGGTGAATCAGCTAAAAATCTAAAGTACCAAAATGACTGGTTAAATCTAAAAGCACATTTAGTCCTGGTAGTTTTATTTATGTTTTAAATTTTGGCTTTACCATTTATTGGTAATACGTATTGGTTAAAGGGCTTAACCTTAAAAATATCTATCTACATTGAATATATGCCAAGTTTTAAGAAATTGCAACTTGTCATTTTGATGGTATAGAAGGCATAAAATACTTAAATTGCATTCTTTTTTCCTTCTAATTTATTTCATTTCTGTAAACTCAGCAGTGGGAGAGTGATAAGCTATTTATTGATATTTTGTTATTTTTCTGACAGTTGAGAGAGTCTCATGTATTGATTTGTAGCGTGAATACGTTGGATTATTTAATAATGTTAAGCGCACTATGGCTATTTCTTTTGAAGAGGAATGACATCGTAAAATATTTTCTAAGGGAAACTGGTCCGTATGTATCTTATAAGTGAGGAAAATCTTGTGTACTTTTTCCACCATTAATCAGCAATTCGCGACTTGAGTAGTTGGTTCTTGATCGGTTAATGTATAACATAAAAGCGAGCTAATTTCTCCAAAAGGCCTACAGAATCACCCAAAGGCAAGGCAGTTTGCTCTTGGGTCTTTACTGTAATTAAATAAACAAATATGCGTTGATATAGAAAATGTTAATGTGGTTAGCTGCATAGCTTATGCATTTTCCATAATCGTGTTACCATTCATTCTGATCCTTTTTTCCTTCCTCATATCGACATAAAGCGGTATCAGCTTAGAATCCTTTTTTTTTTTTTTTTTTTCACACTTTATTCGTTTTCGTCTATTGAGTTTTTTGATAACTGTGTATTTCCTAACTTCATTTCACAAGCTTCCTACCTCTTAAGAAAGAGTGATCGTGAATGAAGTTCTCTTGTTGCAAATTCACTCTATAGGATTAGTAAGTTTATCCAAACCGTTTTAATATCCTTCTAAAAAAGGTATCGCTTAACATTAATGCCTTGATATTCTATTGAGCAGGTTAATCCGCTATGATCTTGATATCCATCTTCATAATTAGTAGGGATCAGAAATCACTTTGAATTTGCATATCCTAATTTAAACAACGTATTTTAAAAGCTAACTCATTATACTTATTACAACTTGATCAATGTTTGGAAATTTTTTACAAAATACTTGCTCATTTTTTTTTCTGACGAAATAAAATTTTAAACCTTGCATTAATTATTTATGCGCTAAATTTCTTAGTCATGACTCAACTTTTTTTATTAATTATTATTATTATGATTATCATATATTTTGTACAGTGTACTCATTCTTTTACTAAGACTTTCTTTAAAATTTGATTAAACATCCTCCCTATTTTCTAAAAAAAAATTACCTCTCTTTGAAAAGTAGTATAAAAAATTTATCATATCTGTAAATTATCTTTTTCATAGATGATTCATGAAAATTCATTAAAAAAATTAAGTCAGTAATTAGAAAAGTGTACACCTTTAGAGAGGAAGTATATCTGGAGGTACTTTCTTT